AACCAGGTATATTACTATCTCTCAAAAGTTGTGATGAAATTTTGTAACACCAGCCCATTGAGAAATCCCAGGACTTATGTTTTACGATTACATATGATACACATCTCATGATTCTTCCCATTGGAATCACCTTCAAGAAATAGTTCCTTTATTTTGGCTGCCTTTTATTAAAACAAGGGGACATTTTAAAGTCAAAAGTAAGTCCTTTTAAATGACTTAATACTTTGGGCTTCTGTCCTCTTCTTCGTGTTTTCCTTTTCTTTTTTCTTTTTTTTCCTACAGAAGTTGATTGTATATTCTTGTATCCAGCAATGACCAGCAGCTTCCAGAGCTTTGGATTTTACTGTTAGCCATCAGGGACAGAACAGGAACTGTGTCCACCCCCTACATCATTTCCTAATAGCAGGCAACCAGAACTCGCTTTAAAACATCTCCCAAGAGGCATCCCAAAGCACATCGTCTAGCAACTCAGCATCCTGTTTAAGCAATTAATGCCTTAGTCAAATCTGTGTTCGTGCCGTTAGGGTCAGAGAAATTCATTTTTTCCCAAACAGTGATCCATCAGTGAAAGTGTTTTTTTAAAGTATATGTAAAGTGGGAGCTGTAGCTGGTGCATGCCGCTTGCAGAGTCTTTTATTTCTTGGCTGCCTGCTTTGAAGATTATCTTGGAATGATAATTCTATCCACTGTCCGTGTGACTTCCCGCACTACGTTAGCGACCTCAGGCTGCTGTCCTACCATACATGGTACGGGGCAACTAAGATGATTTTTTCTTTATTGCTCTGTAGAAACTATGGATTGAAATCACTTGGGAGGGATTTAACATCGCTAGTAGTTTGGGAGCTACTGTAATAAGCCAGTAGCATTGCCATGAGTCAAGCAGTAGAGGTAAAAGCTTGTCGTTCCTCCCCTGAGACACTATTGCTTAAGGCTTAAGAAGGGGAAAAATGGATTGACTCTATGTATTCTATGACTATAACCATTCTCATAACTTTTATCATAGTCAATGTAAGCCCATTGGTCTTCCAAGTTCTGACTAGACCATACAATTCCATTCTACCTTCTCTATCCATTTCCCATCTCCTAACACCTTCTGACTGTCCTCCAATGGTCTTTGAAACTTTACATGCTCCTCAGTTGGGGCCTTTGCACCTGTTCCCTTGTCACTAGCATTCTTCCCATTCCCCAGGTCTGGTCTGCCTGACGAAGCTCTACTCAGGGGTCACTTGACCACGGAGCCATCACAGAGCTGCGGGTTTAACACAGCCACTTCCTCTACCTCTCCCTTCCCCTTCTTTGCATTAGCACTTCCCCACTCTTTGCATTAGAGTGGAATTTAGCAGAGTTGCAGAAACAAGAAAGGGCAACCAAATATATTATATAATTCTTGCTTATAATCATCTATCTGTACTTTGTTTTGCATAATTCCCTGTACTATTTTCTAGCAGATCATAAAAATAATGAGTTATGTATACATTAAATAATGTGTACATAAAATACACATAAAATAGTAAGCTATCTATACATTAACATTAGTATACTAGTACTACTTCACACAGAATGTTCATTGTCTTTTAATCCTTTAAATAAAACTATTTCCACTACACAGAATTCTTCAATGAAAACTATATATTTTATATCACTCAGAATCTATACTGATATGAGGATATTTCAAAGCTCAAATTATACTTGAGTTTCTTAAGTTAAAATTAAAGGAATATACCTTACTATGTTGGTAATCTATATATAACAGTTTCTAATTTTAAAACATGAAGTAATTATTTTGAAAAAACAAATTTACATTTTGATTGTGCACAAAAAATACTCAAAGTATAAATGCACCTGCCAAGAAAAAAAAATGTCTAAGAAGAAATGCTGTACTAAGAAAAATGGATTATAATTCTATTCTAGAAACTGATTTATCCAAACTTACTGAATTATTGATATAACACTATATAGAACTACTTTGGAAGTCTTGAACTACTGGAATCCTCATGTTAGCAATAAAACGAAGCATTAGGTTCACTAGTGAATAATGCATTTATGATATCCTTCATCCAAGCCATTATTCAGGCTAAAAGTGTAAGTTTAAGATTAGACAAGTTGGGCCAGCAAGCTGGCTCAGCGGATAAAAAAAAAAGCCTTGGTACACAGACATAACCACCTTAGTTCAGTCCCAGAACCCACGTGGGAGGAGAGAGAAAAGACTCCCACAAGTTTCCTTCTCATTTCCACTACACAACATAGAATGTATTCATAGTCATACACATACATCATGACACACGTGCACATGCATGCCAGAAGCAACAGCTGCTTTCAAAGATGACATGAGCTAATGAATGAGTCTACAGTATTGCCGATTACTTTATAAATTCACATTTGTACCAGAAACAAGGATAATGAGATGCACACGTCTTAATGAGCTGGTAACAACATGCCTTAATGTCAAAATTGTTCTTGAACAGGAAACCTCAAGTTATACATTTATATTTAATTACTACATTATCCGAGATATATAACAGTGTTATCAAGCTAAACATATTTAAAACATACATAAGAAAAATCCCGTTTTGTTTAATAAACTGTGTATCTCTCTATCTCTCTCTCTCTCTCTGTGTGTGTGTGTGTGTGTGTGTGTGTGCGCGCGCGCGCGCGCGCGCAAGTGTTTATTTACTTACTCAAAAGTATGCCCACCCCTTGTATTCAGCTCAACTCAGCTCCTGATTCCCTTCTGGCAATGGATGGCGCCCTCCTTGGCTCCCTACCATCTTTCCTTCAGTGAGATTTAAGAACTATATGTACTTTTTTTGTAACCAAGAATATATCTTGGCAGAAGACTTACAAATAATCTATAAGAGGTGTATTCATAATTCAAAAATTAATGCTTTTCTTAAAGAACTGCTTTTATGAGTTTACAAAAATAACACTAGATTCCTAAACCTGAATGGAGAATATACTAAATTTCTTTGGTTATTTGATTTTTCTTAACTATTGCATTAAAATATCCTAGTCTAATTTTGTATGATTAGTCTTTCTAAATCTCTGATTTAATATGACAAATAATATTTAATGTAATAGGCAACAAAGATAAACTTAGAAAATGTCATGTTTGTTAGTCTCCACTTACAATTCTTGATATACAGTTTCCTTATTTTATTTGAAATATTCCCCTAAAATGGAATACCCAATTTTAGCGAATGATGCTTTTTTTCAAGTGGCAAAGTTAGATTTACAATGGGAATGCAGCCTTTGAGAATTAGACATATACATCCTCCATCTAACCACTGAATCAGCGCAATCCTCATCACAGAGTTTCCTTCCCGACCCCAGCATGTCAGGAAGGGAAACCCTCCGGAGACTCTTGAGAAGATGGGATCCTGGGCAGTGATAAACCCAAGGCTTTTCTTCCTTCTCAGATTCCCTATCACGGCTTTGCAATGTCTGCCCTTGCTTAGCATTGACTCGTTTCCCAAACAGTTTACACCAGTGAGGAAATGATTAAGCCTGTTTATGTGCTAACGGGAAAGACCTGGTGGGGAGGAGCAGGCTGATACAGATGCAGGGGTAATTGATTGAAAAGGTCCCCCTGGGCAGAGGCAAGGATGGATTCCAGAGTCTACCTGATGAACTGGCCTTGCGAGGAGGGAGGGGCTCTTCTTCCTCTGAGGCCCACGCGGGCTTGGGTTGATGAGAGATGTGATCTGGATGGGATTTACACCCGATGGTCTATTTTCTCTGCAAAACATAAAACGGGGGATTTCAAACAGAGGGAGCGAGATGGGTGGGAAGAATGTCTGCAGATGTGCAGATAGCGAGCCCATTAGAAACACAGTTGGTGGTTCTGGTTGCTCAACAGAGTAAGTCAAGGAGGACCAGGATTTGGTATGATCCAGCCTACATTCAATAACCCGGGGCTGATTATAGAGGAAATGAGTCTTCCTGGGAGGGCTGGTCAAAACAGCAGTGGAGAACAGGTTCTCTGGATGTTTCTAAACACTGTGTCTGCTAATTTTTTAAAATTCATGACCCAGTCTTCCCCCTGATGATCGTGCTCATGTTTTAGACCGTGTTACAGAGTAGGGATGTCAGATGTTGATTAATGGAAACGCCACATGAAAATACGCTGCTAGGGTCGCATGATGCACTGAAGAGCTCTTGTGTAAACAGTGACCTCTCTACAGTCACTAAAACACACCCAAATCAAATACGCTTCTTAAGGAACTAAAAAAAAAAAAAATATGCCTGATACCTTTATTTAAAAGTAGACATAAGGAGTCAGAAATGAGGTTGTAGTTTTGTGTGTTCTTTTCCACTGTTGGAAAACCTTGCCGTAATCTAAATTAAGTCAACAGATCCTAACACTGACTTTGTGGTTGGGAACTGCTTAATTTCATGACTGTCACATTTGCATTTTCTAAGTAAACATTCCCCTTCATCTCACCAAATTCTGTAGTCTGCCTGCCTCTCAGAGAGCAGTCTGACAAGAGCTGGCAACAGCCCTGTTCCCTTCTTGGGTGCACACCAGGCACTGCCTTTAGCCTTGGCCTCCCCAGTTTGTAAACAAGATTTTGCTCGGGTCACTTGATTACATTTCCAAAGGATAAAACACAACATGCTTCTCTGCGGCACCTTGCTTGCAAGCCTGCTTACCAAGGCTGTACCAATGGAGGCACCATGTAATCTGTCCATTTTCTAGAGAATGATGTCACATTCTAACTGTTTCTAGCAACAATGTCCCCCGCCCTCCAAATGAGACTGATTTGATAACAGGAATATCAAGCAATAAATGCCCTGGGACCTCAACTGTTTTCTTTATAAAAGAGAAATATATACACACATATATTGTATTTCCAGCTGAGAATTTTCCTTTTCAGCATTTTTTAGTACAGCATAGGGGACCTTACAGAATAGGACGACTTGGTTTTGATTGTTGGCTGGCTGATCATCTCAGCTTAAATGGCAGTAGTATTATGTTAATTGAATTGTTTTTCCTCTTTTAGGGACCTCTGGGGCCTCCAGGACAAAAGGTAGGGTGTGTATATCATTGTTAAGGAAGTCCTTACACTGCTTTGTCTAATGAGAGCAAGAGAAGTGGGTGGAATTAGTGACCATAAACGGTGCTAAAGGAGTTAGTGTCCTTTGTGTATTCTGCTTTCTAAACCATTTTATTAAGGCACATCAGGATGTGCCTTAGATTTCCACTCTGCTCCATTTCAGAATATTCAGTGAGTCCAGAGTAGACGTTTTGAGCTGTCTGCCGAACTTGTAGGTTATGGAATATTTAATTCAAATATTGGTAACACATTCTGACAGCATTTACAACATGAAGGATCATGTGACATCGCAAATTGATTGCTGGCCTTGGTCAACCATATAACTGCCAAATGGCCACAGAACTGACCCTAAAACGGAGGATATGCTTGTTGCTTGATTCATTGCTCGGCTTGGCTCACTCAGTGTCCCCCTTGGCTGAGGGAAACTGAAAAGTGACTTCCTGATTATAATTTCAGTCTTAGCCACAATCACCAAATTCCATTTGAAAGGGGAGGATTGAGGAGTCTGAGATCACACAGCAATGGCTTAGCAGCGAATACGCAGCATCAGCAGGGATGGCTTTTTGCCGCCATTGCTAACCTCCCACCCCGAACCGGGAGGGAGAGGATGTCCAAGTCGCAGGAAACAATTGTGCTGTAACAGGTGGGAAAGTGGCTGCTCTTCATCTTTGGACTTCATCAAAGATAGAGACTTTTTACCCCCAAGTGCCAGGCGTGTGCCATCTGTTGAAACACAATCCTTCCAAACCAACTCAAGTCCCTGCACTGTGAGGCCTCTTGCAAGCCGGAACAGTTTGTCCCTCGTAACAATGTCTCTGTTAAAGCTCGGTGTGAAATTGTAAAGTTAGCCCGACCCACGTGCAACCAGGATGAAATGCCGGCTCCAGGCTTCGAGCTCTTTAATTCCCGACCCATAGGATCATGGGCTGCATCAAGAAACTTGCCAGCTCAATTTGTTTGGCGTATACGTTTTCTCCAGTGGGCGCCTTTTAGAGCAGTGTCATGATTATCATGCCTATTTAATAAAAATTCTTCCATTATTATAGAAGAAATTTAACATATAACTAAAAGTCTGTTTTCTTGCTCTACACTAAGAATAAGCAAACACACACACACACTTTCTCCCAGAGCCTAAAGTGCATGTGTGTGTTGGGGTTGGGGGAAGAAATGGCATAGCCTTTTTAAAATATTTACTAATACTTAAGTGCCTTGTGTTGTCTCAGGTAGTGACTGGCTTTCCTACCCTCAGTTGAGCCATCCACAACCGGCTGTTCATTCTTAGCCAGTGGGTATATACGTGTTCATGTTTACATGCGCAGGAATCTCCAACTTCAAAAGTCAGAAGTTATGTTGTTTCCGGTCAGTGCACAAGATTCGTGATGCTCTCTTGAGTCCACTTTAGAAGCCTTATCAATACTTAGGTGACTTAACACGCTTCCTGGAAGTCCAGAGGGAAAGTGGTCTGAATATAACAAATGTGAGTTTCCAGCATAGGGTCCTCATGCGGTAGAGTAAGCAGTTGCTTTTTTAATTACCTTCTATTTTGTGTTCTATGAATTTGGCAAGTTCAAGAGTCGCTGCTGTGCCTTGGCTTTTTTCCTGGTGGAACTAAATTATCAATGTCTTCAAAACAAAAATTTTGAGCCATGTGGCCTCCTGAACGTTACAGCTTTCAATTTATATGAGATTCTTTAAGCCATCATAGAGTTAAGTGAGTACTCAGAGAATATTAGGCTTTATCTCTACTTCCTGTGAAAGTAGGAAGATCTGTCTAGATTACTAAATACTAGAACACAGGCTACAATCTAGAAAAAACACAATCTTAAAACCTTTTGTATGGGAGCTATAGTATGTTTTAGCTACGTAACATTGTGGCTGACATAACAAATGCTGTACAGATTTAGAACTGAAATATTGATCATAATGTCAACTTAATTTAATCATGTGCTTCCTTAGGGTTCCACTGGAGCACCTGGGACCCCGGGCATGAATGGGCAGAAGGTGAGTTTGCTGATTGTAGCATTTATTGGATAACTTGGAGACTGTTAAAGTAACAGAATCATTCTAGGGTGTGGTGTTATTAATGAGCTTGTATGTTTGCAAATACAAGGAAGCCATGGAACAAATGTTCAGATGAGTTGGCTTTAAAGAAGCAGTGATCCCAATCTGAAAGTTTTCCACTGTAAGTGTTTTGGATGTGTTCCATTTTGTTAAGTTGTTGTAACGATGTAGGGGAGAAGAGGAGAGGCTGTGCTTAACATTCAAACGTTTGTGCTGATCATGGGTAAATTAATATGTGCCATTTCTTTGATTAACAAAAGTTATTTATATAATGAGAACGCATTAAAATCTTCTGAACCAGAGCAAGCTCTTTTCACTGTTAAGCAAAGCTGGGATTGAAATAGGCTTTCCATACACTGGTACTATTAACTTCTGGTGTGCTGTTAATAATGAAGGGAATCAAAGTACAAATCTCTCTCTCCATTTCCATCCCTCTCCCTCTCTCTCTCTCTCTCTCTCTCTCTCTCTCTCTCTCTCTCTCTCTCTCTCTCTCTCACACACACACACACACACACACACACATGTCTTTGCATGTGTTTATTTTCATAGCATATTATTATTTGGAGAAAGCAACTTATATTATCCCTCAGGTAAGCCTGGTATTTGTGCCCTTAACATGCTTACCATATCTCTAGTCTGGAACCACTGCAGAGATGAACAAAGCCACTGTGGTAGCTAACACAACCCAGAGCAGGCCCAGTTCGCCGGGGTCTAGGAAGCTGAGCTTGGGACTTTCCTGTCTCCCTCTGAAACCTGGATCCAGCCCTTAGAAAGCTTATGACTCATCTACTCAGCTTCCAGAATATGCTAAAGCCCTGTACCCTGGACCAAGTTCTGAAATCCCACAAGGACCCCAGCTCTCCTTTAAAGAACAGACTTGAGCTTGGCCTTTTCATCTTGTCCTTCTTCCTTGCTCTCTCTTAAGACCCCTTAAACCTACAAAGTAGCTAAGAATAGGAGCCCAGCACTTCTATGCTGTGTAGATTCTGCCAAAGTCTTTGAATTCTTTCTCTGCCTCCATATGAGAGAGACTATCTCAGTTCTTGCCTCAAAGGTTCATGCAGGAATTAATGTATTTAAAAGCCTTTATAAAAAGTGTCTGTCATTACTATTAAACCATTCCTGTATTTTCTTTTAGTGGAAAGCTAAAGGTTTGGATTGATCTGTATTTCAAAGAGGCAGTTCAGAATTACTCAAATTACAAGGAAAATTAATATTCTTCATCAAGGCTCATAGTACCCTTACTACATAAACCAAATACTGAGTTCCCACCCATAGCCCATGCTAGGGCCCCATTTACACTCCAGTAAAATGTACATTCCTCTCCCCAATCCTGGAAAAGATAGAAGATTGATTTTCTTTTTATAAAACTGCAGATCATAGAGGGGAAACATGATCAAAAATTTGAAAGTACTTGCTATAAGGAAGTTTTGAAGGTTGCATAACTTGGGATGTTTTTGACATTGGTGAAGACCAAACTTGCATTCTTGCTTAATGTTTTGCTTTACTTTTGTCTTGTTTTGTTTTTTCCTCTGTTCACCTTTGAGAGCCATCATGATAATTTATCGAAAGCTTTAACCTGAGAGAACATAACTTGGAAACTGCTTTTGTGAAGACTTCATATTTTTTATTCTTACAAGGAAATACGCAGTTTCCTTAGGAAGAGACAGGAATGTGACATTTTCTTGTCCTAGTCCCCGAGTTTAAATTACATATCAAGAAAACCGCAGTGAATAGTCACGGCTTTATGTATTGCAATATATCTTCACAGCATTTGAAATGCGTTTTCTCTAAAACAGTGGGAAGCCAGCATCCCACATTCGTAAAGATATGCACACAAGGCAATGAGAGTTCATTTTTCCAACTTCACAGACCTGGAACTAAAAGACTGTGGGCAGGACACCCCTTAATCCTCACTAAAAGTGTTGTGGCAGCTAGATCATCTTTAGGATGATAAGTGTGGGAGGATTCTTCTCCACGAAGACAGCCAGTCTCTGGGACAGTGAGAGCAAAGCTGGCAATAATCCTACAGTTGGGTTGGAGGGTCTGAGTGCCTTAAACTTCTAGAATGTCTTTTTCTAAGAAGAACATTCACAATGACATCATAGTTTCTTGAAAGAGCTTCAGTATCCTGTCATTACCTTAAGAAAATGTTTTCTTCCATGTTACAATTTCATTTTTCCCAAAGTCGCGTTTTTGATGCCTAGAAAGTCATTTTCTGATGACAGGTAAAGGAGGGTGTGACTTCTAAGCCATCAGAAACTTGGAAAATCACAACCAGGCGGGGAGACAATGGTTTTCTGTTGAGTTGGACAAAAGAAAACTGTTTTTTTCCCACCACACCATTTCTAAGCCATTCAGGTTGACACAATTGGCGACGGTGACTTAGTTTTGCATTTATTTTGTAAAAATAAATGTTGGTCACTTTGATTAGCAACCTGGATGCTTATTTCCTTCTTGTGCTATGTATCTGTTACATATTTTCAATAATGCTAGCGATAATCCCGATGTAGTCACATGGATACAGGTCAGTGCCCATTGGAGGCTGCGGTGTGGTGTGGAAAGAATAATGCACTTAGTACCCAGTGGGTGACTCTTCAGTACCAGGTTCTGTGCAAGTGGTGTGGCCCGTTAAGTAAGCTTTGTAATGCCCACCTATGCAGTTACTGATGAAGACTAAGTAACATGGATTTATGTCATGGTCTTTATACTGTACTGAGTAAGAAGGCTTACATAGCAGTGACATGGTATGAAAGTCTAACCTGGCATCAGCATGTGAAGGAATGCTAAGGAGCCTGTGGCCGCGGGGTAGCGCAGCAGGAACGTTACCGCCTAGCCTGTGGGAGAATGCTCCATGTCTTTGTTCGAGAACTCTATGCAAAATTCTTATGGCTCTGCTGTAAAAGGCAAGAGGCCTTCTAGTGCTAACTAGACAAAGTAACTAAAGTCAATGTTATTAACAGATGTTATTAATAGAGGCTCAAAATCTGCAGTTATACTAACATGTGTTAGGAGTCTCTACACTTCGACTCAAGCAAAGTGAAGACCCCCTAAAGTCAACAGAGGATGAAAATTAATATACAGGAAGCTGGACTCTCCCCAGCCCACCTTCCACACAGTATAAAATGAGTGGTCAGAATGATAGGAGCGTGGGTAGGAGAGGAAGGATACGTCACATCATGTATTTACTTCAGAAGTGCAGTCACTGCAAGCTAATATCCTTAGCTCTGGAGGTGATAATCTGTTCTTTGAAGAACATTTTCCTCTCTGGACTTAAGCTATATCTTTATCTACAAGAGAAAGGACTGTGTGAATTTATCTCTAAGTCCCCTAATGACACAGGCCCCAGAATGTCATCCCTGTCACATTGCCCATTCAACAAGTTCCTAGCACCTTTGGTTCTCAACTAGGAAAGCTGGCATTCCATGCTTTGCCCTGGTTTCCAGGAGCCAAAACAGGTCAGATGTCATTCAAAACCCTACCAAAAATATGAACATTTGCTGCTAGTGATATTGGACACAAAAATAAGTTTTGTAATTCTCCTGTGTAGGTCCTGTAGGTTAAAACTCTAATGAACACTTTACTTGTGTGCTATGATTGATCTGCAACAGGCAAAGGCAACACGTGGGCTCAGTTAAACCCTGTTCCTGAGGAAGGGTTCTCGGGAGGAATAGGGTATCATCTTTAAACTGAAGAAGCAGTTAGCAGAATTTACGGAATGTTCTACAGTTCTGTTAGAATATTTGGACATCAGTTCTTTCAAACTCTACACTCACAATAGGTGTTGTTTTAAACCCCTCATTTTTATTTTCTTTCACATATTTATCTTACTTGGCCCAAGCACAGTAAATAAACTCATCGCCAGAATAAATTATTTGAGTAGCAGTTAGTACAAACGCCATGGAAAAAGGACTCTGGTGACAGATAAGCAGTACGTGAGGGGCCCAGCATGCGTAGATCTCAACCGAAATCCTTTGCTCTTTATCAGTAGAAAACAGTATCAACTGTTTTCATGATTAAAAGCAGATTATTTTTGCTATGCAATCTAGTATTTTTCAGAGTTCATAAGGATTCTTGCCAAAGCAAGAAGAATATAGATGATCTTGGCCACTGTAGCTTTCAAAGGCTTTTCTAGATCCTATTTTTCAAGTTTAAAACATAATGTTAAAAAGAATGAGACCAATGTGTCGTCTATGAATCTGTCCCAGATAGCTGTGTGGTTTTTAAGTGACATTAAATTTTCATTAGCTTGTAGCCAAGCTATTTGGAATGCTGTTTCATCTCTTACCCAGGAGCCTCGTAGTTCTTAGCTGACATTCGTCTTCACAGAATACTTCCAATGACATTTTTTAGTGTATGTATATTTAGAGAGCAGATAAATTGACGCTTTCAGCCTTGCAAAGGTCAAACCATTGACTCAAGTCTACACAATTAAACCGCACAGTGATCCCAATATTCTGTGCTTGCTCCAGTCAGTATAACTATTAAGCACAATGTCATTCTTGTTTCAATCTTAAAGTAGGAATTAAGGCCTGAAGATGTGGGTCAGCAATAAGTGGGTGCTTGGCATGTGTGCAGCTAAGATCCTGTCTCTCACACACCCTCAACTTTGAATTAAATTCTTGAAGGATTTCACTATGTTGTGGTTCTCTTTGCTATAGCCTAAAAGTTTCCTGTAGCAAACTTTTAACTTGCCAGGGAGCTATTTAATTGTGACTTTCTGTCATTGTCCAGTAAGTAAAAATAGTTAGGAAAAGAAAAGGCTGATTTCTGATTCCAGATTGGTTATGGTTCATGGAAATTATCTTGTAATAATTTACTTCTTGTATTAGTTAACAGTGGGAATTGAATTACATTTATTACATTTACTGTCTTCTTAGAGATTTGGTAAATTAGAATCCCAAGGACCTAAGATCACTGCCCCGATAGTTGCCATGGTA